TAAAACAATTATCAATTCTCTATGCCAACCGGTCAGCGTGTCTTTACCATTTGAAATTCTATGATCTAGCAATTGCAGATATCCAGAGGGCATTTGAACATGAATATCCAAATGAGCTCCGTTATAAAGTCTATGAAAGGTTAGAAAGTAGGGATGAAACTTAGGATATAATAGAGAGGGCATTTAACTTAGGATTAGTATGACAGTTAAAAATAAATTTCTTGCCCGATAGGAACAGTAACTTATAGTTAATGAATAATAATATATAGTTGAATTATTTAAAAAATAATAATAATAGTGAAACAATTTAGGAAAGCTAAATGTCTGTTAGCTACTAATCGTTTGAAATCTGCACTTGAATCATTTAAAGCAACTTTACAGACATTAGATGATTCGAATCTATCTTTAGAAAAGAGGCGAAAATGGCAGCTGGATGTTCAAATTATGGTTGCGATGCTCTCCAAAGATAAAAATGCTAAAAAAGGTATGTTATATCATAAGTGTACATTTATTATTTAAAGGGGCTAGCAAAGTAAATTTATTTGGGGATTAACGGCTAAGTCTTAATCATACATTTAACGAACAATTTGTCTATGATATACATAATTTTTTTCTTGCATCTACTCGCATGTATAATATTTATTACATTTTATTGAGGCTACACAAACATACAGTAAAGAAAAATTAACGGATTTTACAAATATATAATTCATAAAAAATGTAGCCTCGTTAATACTCTTAAATTAAGATGATTTTAAGAACTTATTTTAAATTTAAAATCAGCGACCATTTGTAACGTCACAAATTTAAAGGTCTATAATTTTGGTAGTTGTATGTTTGTCAATATTTTTCGGTACAATAGTATCAATAGTTCATTATTTCTGCAACTAACTACTAAAACTAAGACAAGATGAGACAAGCAGGGAGAATAAATACAATTAAAATCAAATCGGATGTTAATTTAAAGTTCCTTATTAAACTTAACTTTTTTTTTTGGAATGTGAGAGTACCTAAATAACTCTCATGTATTTTATTTCATTCAATAATCTAAACAAGGGAAACGATATGTTTTACAAACCAACTACATACAACTTCAATTATCTTAGCTGTGGTTAATAAACCACAAGGGGTTATAATTATTTGTATTTAATTACATAACTTAGAATAAAACTGTGAGTCTCGCAAAAAAGACATAAAAAAATATTCCAAGACATTAATTTTATCAAATTTTAAGTTCCGTACTGTTGCAGTATAAATGACGATATGTTTAGATATTAAAGATGAAATCGTATGATAATACATTAAATATCTTGAATATTATACTTAACTAATATTTTGATTAAACCTCACATTTTTCAAGGTCATGTTAACTTCATAAAATATCGTGCATTCCTAGTCAAAACATTAATAAGTCTATGACATATGAATTCATAATAATATGAAATATAATAAACAGAAAGAAAATTTTCCCTGTACATTTTAATAGCTTCTTTAAATAAATACTTAAAACTTGACTTAGTTTTAAAATTGTCTTTGTTACGATGATTGTGAAAAAAAAAATTAATATGTTTTGACTTTACTGATATTTTTCTTTATTAGGGTACTGAAATAACGTTAGAAACAAAATAATGAAATCAGCACTTCAACTTCGAAACATATTAATTATTTATACAAAATATCAGTGTTGAGAAGGAACTGGTTCCAAAAGGGACGGATTCCTGGAACGAGTTCTTTTTGGAGGGACGATGCTAGGAACTCCTTCCTTTTAAAATAAAGGAATGAGGAAAATGAACAAATTCCATTTTTTAAGGAACGTGAACGGAAATTACAGTTCCTAAACATTTTTATAAACATGTTTTAGTGTAGTTTTCCTTGTATCTAGACATTAAAATATTAAGGTATTTTTAGTTGACTTTTGACAATGGAAGTCCCCTATATACCCAGCCGAGATCGTAGGCTGTTTAAATGAATCAATTGACTATAAATAGAGTTATTATCACATGTAGGTATACAGTAAATATTTAATATATGTGTACATATATTAAATAATGCACCAAATATTATCATCGATTCTTGTTAACTAATATATGTTAAAGGTTTTGGGTTTTCTGATTTATTATTTCTAACTTATATGTAGACAATAGACATTGGTCGCGTTGACACAAGTCGTTAGCATTTACTACCTGCTTATAAATATAATTTTCGAATACTTTTAAATAAGGAATACTACAAATTTGTTTTGTATTCGACTGCTGATGAAAATCATTGATGACCGTTATCATGATCTCATTACCACAATTTTTTAAATAACTTGGTTACATAAAAGGAACGAAGAGTGGAACGAGTTCTTATTTTGGAGGAACTGGATCTGGAACAAGTTCCTTCTTAATATAAAGAACTAGGATCTGGAACGAGTTCATATTTTAGAAAATGAACGGGGAACGGAACGAGTTCCATTTAAAAAGGAACTATCCCAACACTGCAAAATATATTATATATATGCGCATATTCATGTGTATGTGACACTGGTTGTTTCTATTAATAAATAATACAGTATTTATAAATACAGATAACATAATATTTATTAAGCCTTTTATTATCATAGATGTTGAGCTAAAAAATAATAAGGATAGTCATAAGTTATATGGAGCTCCAAATGATTTGTACCCAGCAGCAACAAATGCAATGAAAATAGAATATAACTCATTAGAAGGAAGGCATGCTAGAGCTTCCAGAAATATCCCTGTAGGTAAAGTGATTCTTATTGAAAAGGCCTATGCTTCTGTTTTACTTCAAAAGTATGGTCATTCACATTGTGCCAATTGTTTTAATAAGTAAGTGTTTATAGCACAATATTTGTACAGTACTAATTACTAATCAACTATATTAAATAATGACTTAAAATATTATTACAAAAAATGTTTGTATCAAAATAACAGTAAGAGTTGAATTATAATATTATTTACTGTGAGAAACTCTTGAAGATATCATATATTTCCTAACTTTCATTTTGAATTTTTTTAAAAGGATGATTTAGTTTTTTGTTGACTAGTACAGTACTAGTAAGTTTGATAAGTACGCATTTTAAAATTGCTGGATTTTTCAGGTTAATCGCACCACTTCCTTGTCCTGGTTGTAGTAATGTAGCGTTTTGTGATGAATCATGCAAGGAAGTTGCTATGAAATCATATCATGCTTTTGAATGTTTAATGATGCCAACATTATTTTCACATGAAATATCAATTTCTTGTTTAATTGCTCTTCGAATCATAACTCAAAAACCATTAAAATACTTTACTAGCATTGAATTTTATTTAAATAAACTGCAGGTAATTGCAAGTGTGAAAATTCAAAATTAATAAAGTAATTTTTACAAATGTATAATTTTACAGGAATCTGAATTACCAAGTATAAAATATGAACCCAATGATTATATTAATCTGTATAGTTTGGTCACTCATCGTGAGTCAAGATCTATTTATGATATATTACATAGAGCTCACCTCGCAACATATTTTTTGTGGAATTTGAAAAAGACAAATTACTTTCCAAAACATGATAATGGAAATGAATTTCTAACTGACGATGAAGNATGAAAATGAATTTTTAACTGACGATGAAGCTTTCATAGGAAGTTTAATTCTTCACCATCTTGAACTTCTTCAATTTAACGCTTTCGAAGTTTCAGAAATACAAGATTCTAGTGGAAATGATCAACATTCAATTTTTATCGGCGGCTCTGTTTATCCAACACTTGCATTACTCAATCATTCTTGTAACCCATGCGTCGTTAGGTATGTATTAAATTTTTAAATAGTGTGTCATAAATCACATACTACTTCATTTTTATCAAAATAAGTGAAGTATAAAATACTATGTATATTGCTTTCATTTTTATAGGTATCACAAAGGTACTAGTGTCATTGTACAGACTATTCGTGAATTAGACGTTGATGATCCTATAACGGAAAATTATGGACCAATGTTTGCATTCCACACTAAAGATGAACGACAGAATACACTTAAAAAACGGTGATACAAATTAAACAAAAATTGATATATTTCATACGAAATTAAATTTTCATACTTAATACTAAAACATCGTATATATAATACGTTTTTTTTTAAGTTATACTTATTTAATTATGAAAAAAATTGATATCTTCATAAAGTAATTACTATTTTCGTAGAAAATAAAAATATATATTTTAATTGTAAATCAGAGTTAAATTAGATTATATTGTTACATAAGTAAATTAAATAGGTATTGGTTTGAATGTCATTGTATAGCGTGTTCTCAAGATTGGCCATTGTATAATGAAATGGAAATGAGCAGATCACTCAGAATTAAATGCTCAAATTGTAAAAATGCAATCACTATTTCTTCGGAATCTATGGATTTTACTGCCAAATGTAATATATGTTTTAAATCCACCAATTTATTTGAAGATTTAAAAGTTCTACAGGTATATATATATTTTATTTTGAAGTTCAACAAACGCTAGACTAAAAACAACAATAAAACATTGACAGAAATAAGATGACATTTTTATTGTTGATTATTCATACTTCATTATTCATTTTTAAGTACTTAAAAAAATAAAATTTCATTTAAGAAAATAAATCAATTTTTCCAATAAACAAATCGTTTCTTTTTATTTTATATTAAACATTTTATTGGCTGTATATTTAAAATTTTTGTTTTTTTAATAAAAAAAAATATATAATGTAAAATTTTTATCATTTCAGAAAACTGAAAGTTTATTTAGTGAAGCAAAAATTTGTATGGGTAATGGAGATTATCTAAAGGCTTTACCAATATTGTCATCTCTCTTGACATTATTTCACAAGCACCTAGTACAACCATTTAAGGATTATCATTTATGTCAAGAAGCTGTAAAAAAATGTATACTAGCATTAGGAAATAAGCAAAAAAGAATAATTAAATAGTGTATAGTTGTCAGTATTTTATTAGNACAATAAAGAATAATTAAATAATGTATAGTTGTCAGTATTTTATTAGTTTATTTTTAAGATAATTCATAAATATAATTAATACAATTCATATAAAGCCTAGAAATTATAGTCATTATAAAAAATATATGTGCAAAAAAAAAAAAATTATAAATCTATTAACATGTAATATCAATAAAAGTCTATATAAATAAATCATAAATTTTAGTCTTTTGTACCATTTTTTTAAATAGTTCTTTACATTTATTCTTACAATTAAAACTTGTCAAAACAAAAGAAAAACAAAAATTGTTAAAGCTAAGTTTTCCTCAAAAAACACCATTATCTCATTGTAGAGATAATAATTTTTAAGTATGTCAATGTTTATAAAAGAAAGGCTAGCAACATGATTTTGCTGGTTCAGCTTCAATATAGTTATTAAAGTCTATGTTTGCTGAATGATGGGAATACCCACTTTTAATACCATCCCAACCTTCTTCCATTTGATATTCTCCACTTTTTATTCTATGATAAATCTGGAAATAATATATACAGTGTAATAAATAATAGAACATTGAATAGAATCAAACAAACAATGAACTTTAGATGAAAATATATCTACGAAATGATCAATTAAAAATAAGACACTCATTTTCTTGGAAACTTTTGAAAATTCTTAATTTTCAAAAGAAAATATTGATTAAAAAAATTTTACTTTTTTCCAATAGGTATGATAGATAAAAAATATTGTTCTTATATTTTTTATTAAATTAAACATTTTTTTGCTATTGTGTTTAACTAAACTAAGTTTAGTGATTTTTGACAAATTTATTTTTGATAATTTGATATATTATACATTATTATAGTATACATAATTTGATATAGTATACATTATTTATTCTGTGACATAAACAAGTTTTTTTTTGACAATTTATTTGTTATATCTATTACTAATGATAGTAAAAATAAAAATGATAATATATAGGTCATTGAAACAAATTATTGTTGCTTCTGGTATTAAATTTAAATTATTTCATATTATAGAGATTAAAAAAACATTATTGAACTAAATAATATTGTAGAATTTTTTGAATCAAACAATATTTTCCTTTATAAAAATTGAAAATATTTAATAGTATCTGAGAAAATGAGTGTCTTATCTTAAATTGATCACTCTATATAGCGGTGGTTGGCAATCTTTTTAGATTCCCGGGCCACATTCATAAATTAAAAAGAGTTTAAAACTTTAAGATAATAGAACATAAAAATTAGTTTTTAATAATATAATTATAATATAAAAGTATGGAAGTTACAACTGCTTAATAGGCTTAATGGGATTTTTGGTGTTGGATATTGTTTATTATTTTTTCAATTTCCACATTAAAATTACTTGTGCTGGTTCTCAGTATATGATGGAGATGGTCATTAGTTAAGCGTGAACGGTATGGATATTAAATATTTTTCATATGAGAAAAGGCCTGTTCACACACGCAAGAGGATCCAAACATACTGAAGTATTTTGCAGCTATATTTTTAATTTTTGAAAATGATTCAGGAAGTTCAGCGAAAAAAAGTAAAGGCGATGCTTTAATTGAGTCTTTTAAGATATTTTGTGGCTGTNGTAAAGGCGATGCTTTAATTGAGTCTTTTAAGATATTTTGTGGCTGTAAATCTATTATTTCCATTTGAAGCTCAACAGGTATATTTTCAATATCAATATTAAACGGATTAGCAGATAGTTGAAAATATTGTGACTGTCGTATGAAATCACAATAGAAAATTAAGATTATAACCCAAATACACTCGTCATAGGTATCTACTCTCTCTTATCGATAACTGTCAAGGTATATCTACCATTTAAAAAAAAAGGCTGATAGAAATGTTCAATTATATTTATACAATATGATTTTTTTTTGATATGATATTCAATTAAATTTCGTTGTTGTAGAATTTAAGCGGGCCGTATTTAATACTTGCGTGCCACCGGTTGTCGACCACTGCTATAAGTAATTTTGATGAGAGATGTGGGCAAGTAGGTAATGCAGCAATGCCTGTCATAAACTAAAACTAAGTGAGATAAGCTCAGAAATTGAAGTAGCCATTCTTTTATCCAGTAACAGACTAAGCACTCTTATGCAAAATTAAGAAAGAATGCTAAAGGAGACCATAAAAGTGTGAGAATTTTTTGGTTATGTTGACTGATAATAGTTATACTTATAAACATAAATAAATTTTACTAAACTTATTATATCACTGAAAATAATGAAACATAATTTTTTCAAAATAGTCCAATAAAAGATTTTATCCAATCGATCAACCTTTTAATTTTTTTATTGAGTAATAAAAAAAAAATTACTTCTTGAGTGATTGCAGAAAATGCTAATTCAACATTAGAACCAGTTTTTGCAGATGTTTCAACAGTGAACATATTATGTTCTGCGCCAAACTGTTTAGCTTCTTCTTCAGTCACTTCTCTTTTACTTGAACCATTATTTACCTATTAAAAAAAAAAAAATTAATTTTTTCTTAAATATTAAACAAAAATTATATAATAA